CATATTTTGGGAAACAAAGCAAACATCAATAAATACAAGAGAGTTGAAATAATACCAAGCATATTTTCTGATCATAATGCTATGAAACTGGAAATCAACTACAAGAAAAAAGCAGAGAAAGGTGCAAAAATGTGGAGACTAAACAACACGCTTCTGAACAAACAATGGATTATTGAAGAAACTAAAGAAGAAATCAAATATTATCTGGAGACAAATGAAAATGAGAACACGACATACCAAATCATTTGGGATGCAGCAAAAGCAGTCCTAAGAGGGAAATTCATCGCAATACAGTCTCACTTCACTAAACAAGAAAAAGCTCACATAAGCAACCTCAAACGACACCTAACAGAACTAGAAAAAGAAGAACAAACAAAGCCCAGAGTCAGTAGAAGGAGGGAAATAATAAAATAAGAGCAGAAATAAACGATATTGAAGCAAAAAAGACAGTAGAAAGGATCAATGAAACAAAGAGTTGGTTCTTCGAAAAAATTAACAAAATCGACAAACCTTTAGCCAGACTCACCAAGAAAAGAAGAGAGAAATCTCAAATAAATAAAATTAGGAATGAGAGAGGAGAAATCACAACAGGTACCAATGAAATACAAGGGATCATAAGAGAATACTATGAAAAACTATATGCCAACAAATTGAACAACCTGGAAGAAATGGACAAATTCCTAGACTCCTACAACCTCCCCAAACTGAATCAGGAAGAAATGGAGAATCTGATAGACCAATCACAAGTAAGGAAATAGAAACGGTAATCAAAAACCTCCCCAAAAATAAGAGTCCAGGACCAGACGGCTTCTCTGGAGAATTCTACCAAACATTCAAAGAAGACTTAATACCTATTCTTCTCAAACTGTTCCAGAAAATTGAGGAAGATGGAGTACTCCCTAACACATTCTATGAAGCCAACATCACTCGGATCCCCAAACCTGACAAGGACAACACAAAGAAGGAGAACTACAGGCCGATATCACTGATGAACATAGATGCAAAAATCCTCAACAAAATTCTGGCAAACCGAATACAGCAATACATCAAAAAGACTATACACCATGATCAAGTGGGATTTATACCATGGACACAGGGATGGTTCAACATCCGCAAGTCAATCAACGTGATACACTACATCAACAAAATGAAAAACAAAAACCACATGATCATCTCAATAGATGCAGAGAAAGCATTCGACAAGATCCAACACCCATTTATGATAAAAAAAAACCCTCAATAAAATGGGTATAGAAGGAAAGTACCTCAACATAATAAAGGCCATATATGACAAACCCACGGCCGACATCATACTCAATGGACAAAAACTGAAAGCCATCCCTCTGAGGACAGGAACAAGACAAGGGTGCCCACTTTCACCACTCCTATTCAACATACTGGAGGTGTTGGCCAGAGCAATTCGGCAGGAAAAAGAAATAAAAGGAATCCAAATAGGTAATGAAGAAGTAAAACTCTCGCTGTTTGCAGACGACATGATCTTATATATAGAAAACCCCAAAGAATCCATTGGAAAACTATTAGAAATAATCAACAACTACAGCAAAGTAGCAGGGTATAAAATCAACATAAATAAATCAGTAGCATTTCTATACACTAACAATGAACTAACAGAAAAAGAACTCAAGAACTCAATCCCATTCACAATCGCAACGAAAAGAATAAAATACCTTGGGATAAACTTAACCAAGGAAGAGAAGGATCTATACAATGAAAACTACAAGACTTTCTTGAAAGAAATTGACAACGACATAAAGAGATGGAAAGACATTCCATGCACATGGATTGGAAGAATAAACATAGTTAAAATGTCCATACTACCTAAAGCAATCTACAGATTCAATGCTATCCCAATGAGAATCCCAAGAACATTCTTCACAGAAATTGAACAAAGAATCCTAAAATTCATATGGGGAAACAAAAGACCGCGAATTGCTAAAGCAATCCTGAGCAAGAAAAACAAAGCCGGCGGAATCACAATCCCCGATTTCAAAACATACTACAAAGCTACAGTGATCAAAACAGCGTGGTACTGGTACAAAAACAGGTCCACAGATCAATGGAACAGAATTGAAAGCCCAGAGATAAAACCACACATCTATGGACAGCTAATCTTCGACAAAGGAGCAGAGGGCCTACAATGGAGAAAAGAAAGTCTCTTCAACAAATGGTGCTGGGAAAACTGGACAGCCACATGCAAAAGATTGAAAATTGACCATTCTTTTTCACCACACACCAAAATAAACTCAAAATGGATCAAAGACCTAAAGATTAGGCCTGAGACAATAAGTCTTTTGGAAGAGAATATAGGCAGTACACTCTTTGACATCAGTTTCAAAAGAATCTTTTCGGACACTGTAACTCCTCAGTTGAGGGAGACAATAGAAAGAATAAACAAATGGGACTTCATCAGACTAAAGAGCTTCTTCAAGGCAAGGGAAAACAGGATTGAAACAAAAAAACAGCTCACTAATTGGGAAAAAATATTTACAAGCCACTTATCCGACAAAGGGTTAATCTCCATAATATACAAAGAACTCACATGGCTTAACAACAAAAAAACAAACAACCCGATCAAAAAATGGGCAGAGGACATGAACAGACACTTCTCAAAAGAAGATATGAATATGGCCAATAGACACATGAAAAGATGTTCATCATCGCTAATCATCAGGGAAATGCAAATCAAAACTACACTAAGATATCACCTTACACCCATTAGATTGGCAAAAACATCCAAAACCACGAGTGACAAATGTTGGAGAGGTTGTGGAGAAAAAGGAACCCTCATACACTATTGGTGGGAATGCAAACTGGTACAGCCACTATGGAAAACAGTATGGAGATTTCTCAAAAAGTTAAAAATAGAAATACCCTATAACCCAGCCATCCCATTACTGGGTATCTATCCTAAGAACCTGAAATCAGAAATCCCAAGAGTCCCTTGCACCCCTATATTCATCGCAGCATTATTTACAATAGTCAAGACGTGGAACCAACCTACATGCCCAGAAACTGATGATTGGATAAAGAAGATATGGTATATATACACAATGGAATACTACTCAGCCATAAAAAAAGACAAAATTGGCCCATTTGCAGCAACGTGGATGGACCTCGAGGGTATTATGTTAAGCGAAATAAGCCAGTCAGAGAAAGACGAACTCTATATGACTCCACTCATAGGTGGAAGTTAACATATTGACAAGGAGATCTGATCGGTGGTTACCAGGGAAAAGGGGGGGAGGGGGGAGGGCACAAAGGGGGAAGAGGTGTACCCAGAACATGACTAACAATAACGTACAACTGAAATCTCACAAGGTTGTAATCTATCATAACATTAATTAAAAAAAAAAAAAAGAGGAGGATTGGCAGATGTTAGCTCAGGACTACTCTTCCTCAAAAAAAAAAAATTTAATCAAAAAATATGCAAAATTAAATGAAAAATGCAAACCATAAAAAAGACTTGCCACATATGATAAGTAATAACTTTAACATGTCCAAAGCTTTGACAAATCAGTTTAAAAAAAAAGAGCAAAGAACACAGGCACTTCCTAAAGGAAAAATTCAAGCAACTAATATTCATCAAAATAATTAACCTCACCAACAATTAAAAGCATGAAAAATTAAAACAATGCAATTTTTTCACCTATCAGACTGGCAGAGATTGTAAATTAGATGCTGCAAAGTCTGCTGGGAAATGGGCACTCTCGTGTATTACTGAAGGAATAGAAAGTAACAGGCCTAGGGCCGGCCCAGTGGCGCAGTGGTTAAGTTCACATGTTCCGCTTCTCGGCGGCCCAGGGTTTGCCAGTTTGGATCCTGGGTGCAGACATGGCACCGATTGGCAAGCCGTGCTGTGGCAGGTGTCCCACATATAAAGTAGAGGAAGATGGGCACGGATGTGAGCTCAGGGCCAGTCTTCCTCAGCAAAAAGAGGAGGATTGATGGCAGATGTTAGCTCAGGGCTAGTCTTCCTCAAAAAAAAAAAGGAAGAAAGAAAAAAAGAAAAGAAAGTAACAGACCTTTATAGGAGGACCATTAGGTACTGTGCATTAAAAACTCTAAAAAGCATATCTCTTTAAACATACTAATTCTACGTCTAGACATTTATCCTAAGAGAGTAATCAGGTACATGTGCAAAAGCTTATTTACAAAGATCTTTCCTATGGCACATGCTCCTAGATAAGGGATTATGGGGTAAATGACAGCCATGTAATGAAGATGCAGAAAATTACGCTTGAGAAAAATAATCACGGAGAAAAATATTATGATATATCAAGTGAAAAAAACTTGGTTATAAAACTATTGTAGTATGTGATCCCATTTTTATTTCAAAAGACAACATTTCTTAATATACATGTTTACCAAAAAGACCAGAAGAATTCACATACAAAGCATAACAGTAGTTACCTCAGTGGGATGGTATCATAGGAAATAAATATATTTTTTCTTAGTGCTTCTCTGAATTATCAAAATTTTCTAGCAAGAACTGTGTCAGTTACTTCAGCCATTAGAAGAAAAAAGCAGTAACATTTCTTTTTTAAAGGAGGCCTGTGTGGTAAGGCAAGCAGCCAGATCACATCTTCAGCCTCAGAACAAGCCAGGCACTCTAAGGCCACTGAACCTTTGGGCAATCGGTAGAGACATGAGATGTTGAGTAGGAGCCTCCCTTCCACTTCTGATGAGACATAACTCACCTTTCGAAGTTCCTGAAGTAGCTGCTAATAAGTGTGGATAAACCTGGGCTGACACGTCACAGGTGTGACATTTTGGTTGGTTTGTTATACTGTCCTGGTCCTTGATTCTACTACGATTGCTTCCGTGTTCCTGAAACACTTGAAACTGTTTTGCACACCTGACCTGAAGCCTTTATGCAGGGTGAAAGGACATAAACATCCAAACAAAATTGTACACTGAATGGAAAACGCTGGCCACCTCCCCCCCAGATCACATCCCCCCCTTCCCAGATCACACCTTACCTGTAACAAGCACTTGATCCGTTCTCCAGGGGTCATAATTCCCGTGGTGAATACACCAGATAACATCCCAGCTGCAAATAGTTGAGGGTAGCTGTATTGAAAAGAAATGCCAGAGGCAAGCACCTGTGACTAACCACCCAGGACAGAAGCAATCCCAACAAAGAGGAAGACTGTGTAAGAAAAAATAATTACTTGGACTGGGCAGAATCCAAACACAAATAGATCATATTTGGCACAAAAGCCAAGTTCTAGGTGTATTCTGAGGTCAGATTTCCTAGGGCAGGGGTGTCAGTCCCAAGAGGAATAGAAGCTTGGTCACAAGGCACACCTGCACACTCAAGAGGGCCTTACCCATGGGAGAAGCTTTACAGTGAAACACAGTTTCCTCCCTGACATTCACAATGACTCTGGACAACTTTCCCAAGAGGCTTGATTCCTCATGTGTAAAATTCAAGGTTGTTGTGGAAAAATCCTCTAACTTAGGATCTGGATCTCAGTCAACCCCAGTTCCCTTCCAGTCTCACCTCCTCTGGATCCCCAAAGGCCTGAGAACATTTTAAGCCAATATTCAAGTAGGACAGCATCAAGGCCAGAGGGAACAGCTGTGGCTACCTCCACAGGCAAGGGACAGCCAGGCCAGTTGCAAAGAATATGCTGTAAAATGCTGAGAAAGGCCCAAACAGGGATGGTAACCAGACAGGCATGATGGGTCTTGTAGCCCTCTGTGCAGGGAATGGTCCCCCAGAGCCCAGAGATATGAATCCTCACCCTGGCCCCCAAAGAAAGAGCCGCTATGAGAACTTGGAGGAGTCTGAGGCTCCTAGCATCTAAAGCCCACAGCTGTACCACCTCTGGCTTTTCCTTTTCTTTCTAGGATTAGCAATATCTGGGTGGTCTGAAGGCAATAGAGCACAAAGCTACAATTAGCATTCCAACAGAGTCCCCACAATTTAGGAAACCTTGGCAAAAAACTTCACTTACTTGCCTGAGTCTCAGGGCCCTCCAGACCCCAAGCCTCTGACAACTGAGCCTTCAGGCTGGTCCCACCCAACAAGACCTGGAAAATAGATGTCAAATGGGGATAGGGACACATCCACTATGGGTCCTTCCCTCTAGGCAGGGCACCAGTCTCAACAGCCCAGTTTTTTCCATGCACTTACCCCAGGCAAGGCTCTCACGTCTACCTCTGGCATGCAAGCCCAGAACACAGGTCGACTGTTGAACAGTCAAGAGACTTGCTTTCACGCATGGCCTCCTTAACAGTCTCAGTTCACACTGCTGTCCCCAAGAGGAGACCTCTCAGCAACTAAACTTCCCCTTATGAGACCAACGTGCTCTGTTCTTCCCAAGATGCCCAGACTCTAGGCTAGGCACACCTCCATCTCCTGGGACTGGGGACTGTTGTCTGAGTGGGGTCTCTGTGTGTGCACAGGGTACCGTGTAGACACTCTATGACTGCCCGGCTCATTCTGCCACCTGCCACCCCACCCCAGGGAGGCATCTGTGAGTAATGGACCCTCCTGGGATTCCACCCCAAGGCTGTAGTAATGCTCCTTTCCATATTATCCCCAAATACCACCACAGAGAGGGGAACATGGCAGGGCTGACATTCAGGATTCAGAACATGGCAGGATTATAGGGGTGGGGTCCAGAGTGTTTCAATCTTTGCTCAAGCAGGAAGGGTGTTTCTCAGAGTGTTAATGTGATTGTACAGGGAACAAAACCACAGGCCAAAGTACAAGCAGTGATCCCACTGGGGATTCTCATGTATGGCCCTGGTACGGCTATGAGTTGCCACATGAGCTAAAAGACCAGGTGTTTGGCGAGGATATGTGTCCATGGGACATTTGGACTACCAACAGTCAAACAGCTTCATGAGGACCCCCTCCCCACATACAGCCACATTTGGGGCCACCAGTATATAGAAGCTGGGCACATTCAGAGGGTCACAAGGACTCCAGAAATAGAGTTTCAGATTACAAGCATCTCTACTAGACCAAGGCCACCTCAGTCTGCTGTTGCCTAAAGTAGTGAAAGAAAACAAATGCATGGCACCCTGGGCTTCCTCCCTTGAGCTCCTGGATCCCAAGCCTGGCCAGCCTCTGTGGGTTCTGTGCTACCTGCAGCCCCGCCCGGGAGTTGTCATCTTGCACAGCTCAGACTGAGGGCACCTTGTTATCCCATATTTCCACTCAAAATTCCCCTGCATCCCAAGAAGTCTCTGTTTTCATTAACTACTTGGTAATTTCTGAGCTATGATTCTGACTCATCTGCCCCTTCATACTCAAATCCAAATCCTTAAAGTTTATTAAAAAGAAATACACTAATTTATTTCACTTTAACAGAGAAACCAGTATCTCAAATAACTATAATCATGTTATAAAAATGAAGTAAAACAGGGCCTGTCCTGGTGGCATAGTGGTTAAGTTTGCGTGCTCCGCTTTGGTAGCCCGGGGTTCATGGGTTCGGGTCCCAGGCACAGACCTACACACTGCTCATCAAGCCATACTGTGGCAGCATCCCACATATGAAGTGGAGGAGGACTGGCACAGATGATAGCTCAGGGACAATCTTCCTCAAGCAAAAAGAGAAAGATTGGCAATAGATGTTAGCTCAGGGCCAATCTTCCTCACCAAAAAAAAAGAAGAAGTAGTAAAACAAAAGTTGGAACCTCCCTTTCCCAATCAGGTGACAGAAAACAAGCTGCTGTTATCAGTACTGAAGCATCAGCTACTGATCATGGCATTGTACACACATTTTAGCATTCAAACCATCCAACAGCCCTATGGGGCTGACCCCAGTAAGTGATACTACTTGACAGAAGAAATTATGACAACCTGGAAAGGGAGTTGGGGAGGCCTTTTCCAAAACCTTTTGGTTCACAGGGGAAAAAAAACTAAAGTACCTCCCTCACGAGGAACTCCCAGAAGCAGCCTCGGGAGGCCCAGGAGGACAGCCATTAGCTGTCTGCCAAGGCTCTTTCCTTTAACCCGTGTCACACCAGCAGGCAGAACAGCATCAAGTGCTCCAGGCCTGTAAGTACTCACCTGAGCACATCCTCTGGGCATTTCTGTTGCAGTTTCTTCCCCAAACCAAACCCAAAGAAGCACACAGCAAACATGGGGGTGACCCCAATGATGGGGGCAGCCATGCCCCGATATAGCCCTGTGATGCCCTGCAAGGAATCACATAAGCAGAAGCTGTTTACAGACAGCACCACCCTTTACACTGCTGAAACAGGGAAGCAGTGTATTCTCTAACCTGTAGCTTCCTTCCTTTACCTCTCTTCCAAGAGAGGAGAGCTTTTAAATAGCAGAAAACCTCCACATTTATCAGAAATACTTGTCCTCTTACACACTGCTGAAAAAACTGGAAATAACTTCTATTCCGGAAGGCAATCTGGCAATATGCAGCATACGCTTTCATCAAGAAATCTTCTGACTAGAAATTTATTCTAAGGAAATACTCAGAGATATAAAAAAGAATGACATCAAGCATTTATAAGGTACCAAAATTTTGGAATGAACCTAAAAGCTCCCAAATAGGATATTAATGAGACAGCTTAGGGAAATTCCATAAATGGACTATCATACACTCATAAAATCACATCATATCATGAAAGGAGACTACTAAGTGAAAAAAAAGCAGGCCACAAAACAGGATATACAATGTAATCTGACTTCCTTGGGGTGAGATTACAGGTGATTAAAAAAATTGTATTTTCCAAGTATTAAGACATGGAGAATTTATTGCTAAAAATAATACTAAGGGGCCAGTCCAGTGGTGCAGTGGTTAAGTTTGCATGTTCTGCTTCAGCAGCCCGGGGTTCGCCGGTTCAGATCCCGGGTGCGGATATGGCACCGAATGGCAAGCCATGCTGTGGTAGGTGTCCCACATATAAAGTGGAGGAAGATGGGCACGGAGGTTAGCTCAGGGCCAGTCTTCCTCAGCAAAAACAAGAGGATTGGCAGCAGATGTTAGCTCAGGGCTAAGCTTCCTCAAAAAAAAGTAATAATAATAATAATACTAAGACTGCACATCAATTTTCATCAGTACAGTTTGGTAATGAAAGCAACAATGTAGTAGCCAATAAACAGACAGTCACATAGATAGATACTGCATCCATACAAAGTTAGTAAACTAAGGAAGAAGAAGATTCAGCCCAAGAGAGGTGAAGGGGATTTCCAGGATGGTATTGGGCGCAGTGGGCCTGGAAGAAGCCAGCTGACATGGGAGTACAAGGATGGAGGACTCCAGGAGGGATGTTTCCAAGAAAAACAAAGCAAAACAACACACATTGGAACAACAGGTTATAACTATTTAAGCAGTCTGGAAAACCAAACAGAAAGGTACTCTATAGAGCATTCAGTATACAGGATAACAGAGACAGCGATCCAAAGGAAAAAAAGGCAAAAGAAACTGATGCAATTATTAACTCAATCTCAAGAAAAACAAAAAATTGCAGAAGAAATGAAATGTACATCATAGTAGATTATTTGCTTAACAGAAAAAACATATATAAAGTTATAATCATGAAAACAGTGAAGAGGATTAAACCAGAAAGCGTGATAAAATTATATGGGCAGGTGAGAAAGGGGATAGGGAATGTCAGTTAAAATCGTCTACCACAAATAGGTAGCTAAAACACATCAAACGTATAAAATACAGTAGTAAACGTGTACTATGTAGTTATAGAAACAGCATAAACAGCTGAAAGTAGTTGCCTCTGGAGAATGGGATAGAGGTAGAGGTGTAAAGATCACTTTGTTACTTTGTTCCAAGCCTTTCAGTAACAAACTAAGTGATTATATCACTTTAATACAAAATAAGGAATAATTTTAAAAACAAATACAAAAAATGTTGAAGTTGCTCCTTACAGAGAGTGGCAGGAGAAACGGGGCGGGCTGCACCCTGGGAGGGTCCACAGACCCAGGCTGGAGAACCTGCCTCACTGCAGACCCTGGGCATTCACAACCATCTTCTTTCCAGAACCAAAGGGGCAAACTGTACTCGTCAGCACTCCTCCTGGATCCTGCAAAGGTCTAACACTGCTACAGGCTGCAAGCGGACTCACTGAGGACAAAGTGCAGAGGCAGTAAACAGGAAAGGGCGAACGGACAGAGACATTTCTGAGGAGGATCTACGAAAGTAGCATGTGATAAAGTTCTTCCAAAGCCCCTCCCACAGCTCCCCACCTGGGCTGAGAAGGATGCCCAGGTCCTGAGAGGCCAAGCCCAAGCTTTCAATAACTCCTCTAGCCTTCCCCTCACTGTGCTGGCCCACTCAGTTCCATGCAGCACAACTAAGGCCTCTGCCGGGCAGCTCCAGAAAGCAAAGAGCTCAGTCCGGCACAGCAAAAACCAATGACACGTACAAATATGGACTAAGGAAGCCTATTCAACTCTGTAGGGAGTTGGGTCTATACAAGCCATTCTAACCAGGTCCCCAGCACCCAGCATACTGCCCAGCTGCTAAACAGGTGCTTAAAATCTTTATTGACCAAGAGGCATGTAAACCTGTCTCTCTTTCGTAAGGGCAAAGGATTCTGAGCAGACCTGAAACCTAAAGCCTCCATCAGACACTGATCAGACTCCACCCTGGGCAGCACAAATCAAAGAAAGAGCACCTTACAGAAGAAAAGGCAGCACCATCTCACGCATGGGTAGCTGGGTAGGCTCCACCTCAAAATCTTGCTTCCATGCCTGGGTCCTGCAGGAACCCTGGGGAACACTTTCCCCCCAAGGTTGAGTCCATCACTTACCAGCATCCCCTCTTTATCTGAGTGACACTTGCTCCTCAGTTTCTGTATATTTAATAAAGACTATATATTTAATAGAGTATTTATTCATATGAAAGTTACATTTTAGGAAGCAAAGGAAAAGTTCTCAACAAGGTTTTTTTATAACATGTGCTAGGGAAGTGAGTAATATCACTAGTAATTAAAACTTTAAAAATCCATGTTTTCACTGTAAGAAACATCTGAAAACTTATTATGTAATTCAATAATCCCAAACCAATTTAGTTTCCTTGTCTAGAAGTTTGAAGATTCCACTGTTCCTCAGACTGGCTGACTTTTCCTCCAGATTCTATGTGAACTTCTGACACTGATCCCTGTGGAACTGACTGATCCAGTTATGCCCTTTCTTCTATTTCACGTCTCCAATTATTTCTTACTAATTCCCTGCAGTCTAAATTCTGCCTTCCAAAACAGAGAACCATTTTATTAGCTTCATTCACCCGTATAAAACAGTAGCTGGAACTATCAAAGACTCCAGATCGATGACAATAGGAGGGCATAGGAAGGCACAGTGAGAGACGCACAGCTGTGGGCTAGACCTCCAGTAGAACTACATAAAGTCACCCTATCCACCCTATTTGGGAGTTACAAACCAACCCTATGAATGTGTTCCTCTGAGCGAGAGGAATGCCCAGCACCGAGATACCATACCTCTCTAATAAGTGTCTTCCGGAAACAGTCAAAGGTCCCAGAATACATGGGCGGCTGTCCAGGCAAACTTGGGGGCTGCGTCTGCAGTCGGACCTGAAACCAGAAGTTAAAAGACAGTCATCTCCCAGAATCAGAACTACCTATCGGTAGCAATGGCCCAATTGTCTGCCAAACTCAACAGAGAAAGCTATACCTACTGTGTACATGTCTTCAGCATTCACTTAACCTGCTGGATTCAGACTTCTCTTTCCTCCAATTTATTCAAACCCTCTGCTCACAAGTCATTAGTAGCATGCTTTTTTCGTTTTTTCCTGATTTTTCTCCCCAAATACACAGTTGTATATTTTAGTCGTGGGTCCTTCTAGTTGTGGCATGTGGGACACTGCCTCAACGCTGCCTGATGAGCTGTGCCATGTCTGCACCCAGGATCCAAACCAGTGAAATCCTGGGCCGCCAAAGTGGAGCACGCAGACTTAACCACTCAGCCACTCAGCCCGCCCCAGTAGCATGCTTTGAGAGAGAGGAACAGTTCCTCTGATTTCCTCATCCACTTATTTTCATCATTTATTTCTTATCTAATGGATCCCAGAATGACCCAATGGGATAGGTATTCCCAGTTTACAAATGAGACTGGGTTTAGTGAGTTCAAGTGACATGCCAGTAACCAGACCTGGCTGATGCAAGGCTCCAGCTCTAGCCACCACCCCACTTCCATTTGCAGTGGCATGCTGGTGGTCAGGTAAGGTACTCAACAAAGGCATTCCGGAGTGAGGTGGATCTAATCCTACTTTTCTTGCTCCTCATCCTTCTCAACTTTTTGGTGTATCCAATGCTTCCAACTGTCTCTCTCTTTTTTTTTTTTTGCTGAGGAAGATTCACCCTAAGCTAACATCCACTGCCAGTCTTCCTCTTTTTGTATGTTCGCTGCCACCACAGGATGGCCACTGACAGACAAGTGGTGTAGGTCTGTGCCCGGGAACCAAACCCAGGCCGCTGAAGTGAAGCATGCCAAGCTTAACCACTCGGCCACCAGGCTGGCCCTTTCTCTCTCTAAACCTCCCTTCTCAATACTTCCTCCTTTGTTTCCTTTTCTACTGCAGTCATTCTCCAAGGCTAAGCACCCCGCTCATCTGGTCTACTACCCCTTTCAGAAAACTCAGATTCCAGGGCTTCAGCTTCTGTTCAGTGATGACTATCACTCGGCAATCTCTAGACCTCTCTCCCTACCTTTAAGGCTACATTCACAGCTCACTGGAGAAGCTCTCCCTACTCAAATCATCTGCAGAATCTCACCCTCCTGAGGTATGTCTTATTTGTACCAGAGCCACCTACCTACCTTCTTTCTTAGGATTTGAAACCCTAGTAATACCTCTAACTACTTCCTCTTGCTGTTCCTGCTCTTATCACATGGGCACCAAGTCTGTTGGAGTGGTCTGTCACGATGAATCCAGAATCATAACTACTTCCTCTCTCTGTCTGAGTCTTCTCCTAGGCCAAGTCCTTATCCATCCTTACCCAGTGTGGTGGTTTTCAATTATGTCCACTAATTCTTTGACACTTTTCCCCTTTAAAGGGTAAATCCTAATTCCACTATCCTTGAATGTGGGCCAGACTTGGTGATTCACTTCTTTATTTTTTTTTTTTTTGAGGAAGATTAACCCTGAGCTAACACCGACCACCAATCCTCCTCTTTTTGCTGAGGAAGATTGGCCCTGAGCTAACATCCATGCCGATCTTCCTCTACTTTATATGTGGGATGCCTGCCACAGCATGGCTCGACAAGCAGTGCTAGGTCTGTGCTCCAGACCCAAACCTGTGAATCCTGGGCCGCTGAAGTGGAGCATGTGAACTTAACCACTGCGCCACCAGGCCAGGCCCTCAGTGATTCACTTCTGTTGAATAGAATGTGGTGGTATTGATGCCATGTGACTTCTAAGGGTAGGTGATAAAAAAAAGTCAGCTTCTACCTGTCTCTGTCTCAGGTTATTTGCTTTGGGGGAAGTCGGTCACCATGTCATGAGGACGTTCAAGCAGCCTGGAAAGGCCACGTGTGGAAGAAAGAAAGCCTCCTGACAACAGTCAGCACCAACTTGCCAGCATGGAATAAACCACATGGAAGCCAATCCTTCAGATGAGTGCAGTCCCAGTCAACATCTTTTTTTGCGAGGGTGGAGGGGGTCCTTTGGTCCAGTATTTTTAATAGCTTTATTAAGAAATAATTTGCATAACATAAAATTCACCCATTTAAAGTACATAATTCAATGATTTTTAGCACATTCAGAGTTGTGCAATCTTTATTACAATCAATTTTAGAACATTTGC